TAGTGCGGATAGGTAGTCATAATAAATGATGCTGGACAAAGTTATGATTACTTTCACTTTTATCAGCCGTTTGTATGTTTATGATTTATATTACTAAATGGTCTTTCTTACTGCAAGTTTACTCTCTCATGCACACGCGTACACACACACACACGCACACACACACACACACACACACACACACACACACACACACACACACACACACACACACACACGCACACGCACACGCACACGCACACGCACAGACACACACGCACACAAACACACACACACATATACTCTCTCTCTCACACATACCCACATACATGCACGCACACCCACATGCACCAACACTACACGTACGCACAGTCTCTCTCTCGCACACACAAGACTTATATGACCATATATATATATATATATATATATATACACACACACACTGTAGTTATAGTACAACAACACTGCTATCAAATCCCTACCAAGGGACGGGGAAGTCACTGTTGTTTATAACATAATATGGAGGACTATTTACTACTCCCTTGGCAGCTATCATTATAAACTGCTGAGATTATGCATTAACTTGACAAAGGCTGTGCCTGCACATACTAATCTAATCTTATATGCAAACAATATATATTCTTTAATTTTACCTTAATGTAGAGGGCATTCAGGCTAACAAAAGTGATTTTATAAAAGTCTTACCTTCGAAAGTATTCCTGCAGCGTTTCATCGAGGGTGCTGGCGCGGCCCTTCATGTGCCGAAAGTCGTGTTGAAAGCGCAGGTCTATCTTCCAGCTCTTTGCCCGGAGAATGCAGAGAAGGTCCTTGATGCGAGGGACGTCCTGCGGGTCCCCGCTAATGTCGATCTCCACATGCGAAGGCCGCGCGTGGCTCAGGACACTCGCGTACGCTGTTACTTGGCTGTCGGTTATTTCTATCCTCTCCTTGAGGTCCATGGCCTGTGCGATGCATTTGCTGACTGTCTCGTCACACTTGACCTCGGACAGCAGGCTTAGCCACTCAGACCTGTTATTGATGCCAGAGTCTCTCAGTAAGCTCACCAGTTCCTTACATCTGTCTTCCTTTAGGGATTTTCCCCTGTGGTACAGAAGGCCAGTCAGGTGAATGAAGATATTCTGACATTTGACCAAATCCAACTTTGCTACATTGTGCTCATTAGCATCATATATTTGTGCCTCTTTGACTGTATTTTCCAGAACACTATAGATAGTTGATGAATCTGATACGTTCCATTCTAATTCCTGTAACTTTTTCTTGTTTACTTCTAATATGTGCGCACCAGCGTTTGATGATACATTGCAGAGAAGAAGTGTGATTCTAATACCTTGCATTATTCGGGAAATGTCCATGTCATGACTAATAAGATTTTCCTTAATATGGAGCGCACTGAGGAAATCCTGAAGCCCCTTGTGGGGAAAGCTATACTTTTCTAAAGTTTTATCTGTCACTGAAACTGCATGGAGCAGGAAAGATCCAAGGACCTCTGCTGTGGGCAACTGGAGGTTTTTACATACATCCATGAGCCTCTCCACTGAAGCTGAAGATAACACTGTATCGTCTCTGTAGTGGTTGTTTAAAGCTTCTTTGCTTAACTTCTTGAGAAATGTATCTATCTTTTCACTTACTCTGTCAGAGTCTAACCTTCCATTTTTCTTATGATCAAGCAATCTTTGTTTCAGTTTTTTCTGACTTAACTCATGCGTCTTGATAAAAAGTTCAGTTGCTGTTGTCATCTTGTTGACAGCATCAGGGTCAAGGAACCACAGTATTGTCACAAGGACCAAGTTGAAAGCTAGTTTCCAGTGGTCGTGCAAGCGACTTTCTTTCAAATATTGAAGGAGACCCGATATGTCTCTCTGGCCTTCATCACTAAGAGCTCTGCTGTAATTTATGACAAATTCTTCTCTTCTGCTCTCCTCTATGCCAATGACCTTCATGTGAATGATCTCGAAATTCTCTGGTACTCTTTGCCTGAAGTCACTTACTCTGTTAGGCCGAGTTGTGCAAATAACAGTGACGTCAGCAGTCTCTCCCAGCTTCATTATCTCTTCCAGAACTTTGTCTGAGGACTGATTAAGCTCGTCAATCCCATCAACTATGAACAAAATCTTTCTGTCGCGAATGTACTTGACCAAATCATTATCTGGGACTTCATTACTTACTTTAGGCATAAGGGTGCTTAAGAGTTGCTCAAGGCAGGAGATGTCTTTGTTTCTGCACTCGGTTAGAATGGCCATGTGGAAATCTGTGAGATTCTCCATGGAAATTCTTTCTGAGGCCCAGTCACTGATCATTTTCCGAGTGAGCGTCGTCTTCCCAACCCCTGCCGGTCCTTCAACCAGTAAAACAACATTGTCCTTATGGCCTTGCTTGTTCTCCATACACTGTAGAAGGTTTTCATATTCTACGTATTCAGAGGAATTAGCTTTTTCTTCTTCTATTTGCATTTTGGTAAAAATCTTGTCCACTCGTACATTTACGTTTAGGCTGTTATCTA